GGCAACTCTAGTCTTTTTTTAGGCGCCCTCTATTTTAGTATATAAACCCGGCAAATTAAGCGGAGATATAATTTGCAGAAAGACAGATAATTGAGTCAAGCGAGCGGTAGTGACCGTAGGTATAGTGCATGAATGGTTGTGAATTATAGCGTGTGTTTAAGTTAAAGTGACTGTGGAAATTCTGTGTATTACAAAGTTGTATTGAGAAAGAATAAACTAGTTTTATTTAAGAAAAGACTTGTATCGCTGAAGTTCCTCGGGAAGAATTTATACCGGAAATTAACAAACGACCAGAGACGTAACACTATGTTTTGACGTGTTGCTCTGCATCAAAAGCGCTGATTGGTTTTGAAACCAAAGTTCACATACCCAACTGTTTTTTTTTTTGTTTAAAATCAATAATCATCCATAAGTTAACATAATAAACATTCTAAAAACATTCAAATATTTCAACCCACTGTAAATGTTTACCAGTAGAAAGTGGTTGTAAAGATTTTGAAGTTATAAAAGCGATTTCAGTATTGATTATTAGCAATACTGGCGACTGGAGGATCATACCAACATCATTCTGCTTGGTAGTTATGTAACTGTTCTGATTACTAGAGTGACCAGAGACACTTTTATGGTCAACTACTGTCGTGATTGTTTAAAGATATGTAAATAAAATAATTACTGCAATACATATTAAGAGTAAAAAAACATATTTTTTTATTCTTAATAACGTAACAGAAGGTGCCTGAAAAACATTACTCCAAGACATGTTGAATGATGTACAAGTTAGTTGTACAATGTGTGGTATTATTTGAAATGGTAAAATAACGCTGCCTCAGTTGTATATACCTTCATTATTGATTGTTATTATAATAATTTATTAGACGCACTTTTCTAATTTTAAGTGTGTTTAAGTTAAAGTGACTGTGGAAATTCCGTGTATTGCAAAGTTGTATTGAGAAAGAATAAACTAGTTTTATTTAAGAAAGGACTTGTATCACTGAAGTTTCTCGGAAAGAATTTATACCGGAAATTGACAAACGACCAGAGACGTAACAATACTTAAAAGGTTAAACATTCTCTCTTTCTTTCTTTCTCTCTACATGTGTATATATATTTTTTCATTTAGAGGAAATATAATTGATATAACGTGGTTAAAAAGGTACTTTACATACTTATTAGGAGATAACACAATTTAAAGCTGCTTCAAAACTTAAAAAGTATAATCAAAATCAGTTTACTGATTAGATACCTGAAATCGGGAAAGAACAATATAATACCGGTACTTCAAAACCAATGTTCAAAGTATCTCTTTATCTGTTTCGATAATACCGGTACTTCAAAACCAATGTTCAAAGTATCTCTTTGTCTGTTTCGATAATACCGGTACTTTATGAATATGTATTACATTACTCTGTTTTGTTCTTTACTACACGAAGATGTTTAATCATATAGGACTGAGAGATAGTAGGATGATTATAAACAATTATTATGGTGTAACTCATACATTATTGGAAAGTGCTTACATCTTACTGAAAGAGTGTTGGAAAATGTGAAGTCATATTTTAATACAATTCACTATTTTTAAAGACAATATGCATGTTTATTAGTGCTTTGTTAATACATTAGAAGACAAATGACCCAGAAACTCACACGTGCCATCTGCTATTGTCCAGAGAAGTTTGTGAATTTAACGGCAAACATTTGTGCCAGAAATAACGCCACCATCGTAACCGACAAACCCATGATTCATCCAATCTATAATATCTCCTCGGATTTCTTGTTCTTCATAGTTATAGGATCGGTCAACCTCACAACTCAGGCACGTACTGATCCTGAAAATCTGTTCGGTGTCGAGGATCTCAGAAAACATCTGGACTTCGGTGTACTCGCCATCAAAAGATTGGTCAAGTGTAAATCCTCCACCAGGAAACGTTTGTTCTTGTCCCAGGGAAATGGTGCCACCAAGTTGTATCATCTTACCTTTCGCAAAGTCTGTCATAGTTACCTCGCACGGGTCTTTGTCCGGGTCAACGACGATCATGGCAAAACCGTCCACAGAACGCCACGCGTAGCATACGCGGTGCCAGTCACCCAACGAAAACGTCGGGCACACGATGGCAAACTTGTGGGAAACGTCGTTAATGAACATTCCGACTGAGGGATGGCCGTCATCTGTGCTCTCTAAAAATGTCAGCAGTTCGTTGTGGAATCGCTGAGTAGCATAGGAGAAGGGGTATTCGGTACTGGATACCAAGCTCGACACCTTCAGCCACATACACAGGGTAAACTCTGTCAAGTTTCTGTTTATACCATTCTCACGTATAAACCTAGGAAATCTAGTAGAAGTGGAGCCGAAAATTTCAAATTTGTACATTGGCTGGCCTCTCCTGGCGGCATCAGCAAAGGTACTTGTCCAAACAATTACTAAAGTTGTAGCAAACACGTAAAATAGTTGGACCCTCATGACGGCAGAGACAAGAAGTGAACAGACCAATCTGACACGAACGACTTTTATACTCCTGCCGATCTAAAGTATCATGGTAAACACGTGGAGAAAACACCTGGTGCACACGACTGGTGTGTCGATTTCATCTGTGTAACATAATCTTCTGTCTGTCTGTTCACAATGGGTTGTATGTTTTAATTGTTTGTCACTGGTTAATAAACATCAGATAATTTAGAGCTGGGCTAGCAAGTTAAAATTAGACAAGTGCGTCTAATAAATTATTATAATAACAATCAATAATGAAGGTATATACAGTGTTGTTTTACCATTTCAAATAATACCACACATTGTACAACTAACTTGTACATCATTCAATATGTCTTGGAGTAATGGTTTTCAGGCACCTTCTGTTACGTTATTAAGAAAAAAATATGTTTTTTTACTCTTAATATGTATTGCAGTAATTATTTTATTTACATATCTTTAAACAATCACGACAGTAGTTGACCATAAAAGTGTCTCTGGTCACTCTAGTAATCAGAACAGTTACATAACTACCAAGCAGAATGATGTTGGTATAATCATCCAGTCACCAGTATTGCTAATAATCATTACTGAAATCGCTTTTATAACTTCAAAATTTTTACAATCACTTTCTACTGGTAAACATTTACAATGGGTTGAAATATTTGAATGTTTTTAGATTGTTTATTATGTTAACTTATGGATGATTATTGATTTTAAAAACAAACCAGTTGGATATGTGAACTTTGGGTTTCAAAACCAATCAGCGTTTTTGATGCAGTCCAACACGTCAAAACATAGATTAAAGGAAAACGTAACGCAGCTGTGCCTCATAGCTATCAGGACTTATTCCATCTGGTAGTAAACCTACATTTACCTCAGCAGATCAAAAACACCATATGTGTTAGTTTATCAACATAAGAGAATTTTCAATCTCAAATCTAGTTAATAATGAAACATACCTTATATAATATTCATAATATTGTTACGACAGCGGAATTCACGTGACTCTGCTAACACGTAATGAGTATCTAGAACGTTCGTGAAGACTCTAGTGTTTACCTGACGCCCTCTATTTCGTATATATAAACCGGCGAGAAGTGAAAAGGTAGATAATTGAATTGCAGACAGGCAGAGATAGAGACGGACAATTGAGTCAAGCGCGGTAGGAAGTAAAGTGCGTGAATCGTTCGTTGTGAATTATAGTGTGTGTTTAAGTTAAAGTGACTGGGGAAATTAAGTGTATTACAAAGTTAAATTCAGAAAGAATAAACTAGTTTTATTTAAGAAAGGACTTGTATCGCTGAAGTTTGTCGGAAAGAATTTCTACGAAAAATTAACAAACGAACACAGACGTAACAATATTATACAATACACAATATTGCATAACACACGCACATGTATATATATATGTATATATAATGTTGCATAATATTATACACATAAAATATTACTTAATATAATACTCATATATATATATAATATCCAAATGTTTGTCTGAATGGTTGGTTAATCGTATAAAAATAATTATATATCACCATGCTTGTTTTCCAGAATACATTACGCAAAAATTATTCATTCTTTGCAATTCCTGAAATTTCATATCAATATCAACATCGATTCGTTAGTCTTCATGTCTGTTGAGTGATCAATCTGAGAGATTAAGAAACTTATTAAGAACAAACATTTTTGTTTTTGTGAAGGAATTTCGGGGAAAAAAACTAGTCTTCCGCTGTCGACTGATTGAATGAAATATCGATAAGAGCATGAACATGTTTAAGTATATATTTATTGTTTGGTTTATTTAATTTTTTCATGTCGGTATTATATACATGCTTGATTTTATTGCCCCATGTCGAATAAATTGATTTGAATTGAGCTGACTATATGCCCTTTAACATTTCTTATAGCAACTACAACTATAAAATAAAACGCTCATTTGGGTAGCAGTCTTTTCTTGCGCTCAGTAAAATGACAAGAAATGGTGGCATCCAGTGAAACAAATCTTGCATCTTCTCAGCGAACCTGAGCACTCTATGGTGCTGGATGCATCGAAACCCGAAAACAAATACAATATAATTTTCCTTATTGAAATAACACATGGAATGGCAAAATATGGTTCTAAATGGCTCACTAGACAATCATATTGAATATACAATCTGATCTAAGGCATTGGGTTGACTGCACATTTTGTATTTATTCATCACTATTTTTAGGAAAATTACCACTGAATTATTTTAACGGGTATCTACTAGTGTTATATAATAAATAATGTTGTGTACTATTATTTATTGCTTAATATTGCGTTTTGCTAGATGCTCATCAACTTCCAAAATACAACAGTCTATCAAAATGGTTTGAAAATTAATTTTTATTTAACAAAATACCAACTTTCTCAAGTCACGTATTGACTATAAACTAAGACATTTTAGCACTCTTTAAGCTCTATATATAAAGTCTGTTTACATCATATAATATTTCCAACTAGCTGGATACCCGTCCCCTAGACTGAAATTATGTAAATTCATGATTAATGAAAGGTTATCTTAGGACATGAAAAGTTGATTCCTTTATATGTAAAAGAAAACTGATCAAAACTGCAAAACTCAAAATGCAAAACTGAAAATTTGTGTGCATTTCTCCATGAACCTCCATATCACTTTTGGTGAAGATCCACCTACACCCTGCTAAGTAGCTGCATAGAGAGACAACAGATAGCAGTATTATATGGTTACATATAGTGACCTGATGTGTCACATAAAACTACAGTTATGGTTGCATACTGTGACCTGATATGCCACATAAACCTACATCTATGGTTATATACAGTGACATGATGTGTCACATAAAATTACAGGTATGGTTTCATACAGTGACATGATGTGCAACATAAAACTACATATATGTTTACGTATATTGACCTGATGTGTCACATAAAACCACAGTTATGGTTGCATATAGTGACCTGATGTGTCACATTAAACTACATGTATGGTTACATATAGTGGCCTGATGTGTCACAAAATTACAGGTATGGTTGCATACAGTGACATGATGTGCCACATATCAGGTTGACTACAAATTATTAGTACAACACAACATTTTGCACTCGTAACTGATAATACAAGTGCCAGATATTACATTCATTTGCTAGTTTGTTCTGAGTGCATTTTACTTTGCTATACATGAAGTAGTACCCAAACTAGGATTGAACCCTTCAGTTGCTCGTCCAAAAGATCTTGATTGGTCATGAGTGATGTACATCCAAATTTAAAATTGTCACTGCCAGTAGAGATTATCAAGACTGATTCTACAAATATTTTCCCTAGTGCATCGGGTTTATGATCTGAATATTCAATGAGTGGGCTTTTACATGCTGCTGAACTGAGCAGTGCCATAAACAAAGTTGTCCTCTGGTATCATTATTTTCACACATGCAATCATAATCATTCGTTAGCTAGTTCAGTGATGAATGTTCATATCAAATAGTGAACTCTCTACCTACAAGTAGTGGTAATAATATTTAACAAATACTACAAACTACATTTTTCTTTGTTGTACAGTATCAACGTTCAGGGGCAGGTAACATATGACTTATATAGGTGGTTACATACTCCATGCCAGCCTGTACTTGTGAAAAAACAAAGCCAACTCTACCATCACTGGCATCTGTATTCAGAATGAGTGGCAACCTTGACAAGGGTAAGCCAGTGTTGGTGCTTTGAGTATAAGACTGCATCATTATCCACATTCCATTCGTCATATAAAGTTCATGCCAACCTTAGTCAGTAGAGAAATTAACTATAAACCATTTATAATACAATGCAAAACCTAGAGAGCTATGGATTTCTCGTTTACTAAAAGCTAGTACTTGAACCACTGCAATTTTCACAGTATGAGTGGACTAATGTGATCTATGCAGGATGAGTGGAACATTCCATCTCTAATAACTGTATGACTGGGAAACTCCATTTCCGCGTGCGTGAGCATGCAGGTTTTCGGTTTCATTTACAACTCTGCATCCTTGATATGCTAGAATACTATTCTCATATTCTCATCTATTGCTTGAAATGTGCATCCAAAGACGATTATGCCATCCACATAGATGAGACCTCTTTATCAAAGCACATCTTTCAGTGAAAGCTACATCAAACTCTTGAAAGTGGTAGGTACCTTACGAGACTGAATAGCATGATGCCGAATATAGTGTCCATCCCAAGTGCTTAAAGCAGTTTTGGGTCTACTTTGATTGTCCAGTTTGACTTTACACTTACCAGTGCATATGAAAGACAGACTTGAAACTGAAACTGGGGAAGTGTTATTAATGTGAACGGAAGTGGAATTTATTACAATATAAAGAGAGGTAGAGCTTTGATTAACTTATCTGAGATAACCATGGTGAGAGATTGGCTTTGACCTATGATAAAGCAAGAATTCTACGGTTTATTTGGTTTATTTACATCATAATACTAATGATTTCGGGACAGATCCTGGATAACAATATGCATGGAGTAAAGAACGTGAGCATGCATTCTAATCTTTTGAAGCTTGCTTTAGCGAATGCTAAAGTTTTGGCCTTTTCCAATCAGGACTGTGAATATATTCTGGACTTTAGGAGCAGTTGTAATGGAGTCGGAATTGCGCTATTTCAGTTGTAGGATGGAGTGGAACATATTATTACATAAGCTAGTCGTACACTCACTTCTCTCAAATGCACATGTTGTATGCTGAAGGAAGAGCTGCTCACTGTGGCTAACTTCATAAAGCACTTTAGCTACTACTTGTATGGTAGGAAGTTCACTGTAAGGGATGAACATTCTTTACTGAAGTGGTTATTAAGCCTTTAAAATCTGATTGGGATGATATAACATCGGATACCAACATTGCAAGAATATTATTTTGCAACAGTTCATTGTCCAGACCTGCAAAACGAAAACATGGATGGACTGTTTCACCAAACAGTGAGAACTTGACCATTTTTCAAATATTCTAAT